GCTTTTGTTTCCCAAGAACACCCAAAACACTACGAAGATGGTTGACATGTTCTTTGTCACTTTTCGAATAAACCAAAATATCATCAATAAAAACTATAACGAATGAATCAAGAAATGGTTTGAACACCCCATTCATCAAACTCATGAAAGTTGCAGGTGCATTGGTCAAACCAAAAGACATAACCAAAAACTCATAGGGCACATCCTCAGGCCTAATTTTCAATTGATGGTAACCGGATCTTAGATCAATCTTAGAGAAAACTGACGCACCTTGCAATTGGTCAAAGAGATCATCTATTTGAGTCAAGAGATACTTATTTCGAATTGTGACCCTATTCAATTGTCGATAATCTATACACATTCTCATACTACTATTTTTTTCTTAACAAACAAAACTGGAGCACCCCATGGGGAAGCACTAGGACGAATAAATCCCTTATCAAGAAGCTCTTGGATTTGAGCCTTAAGCTCTCTTAATTCTGTCGGAGCCATACGATATGGAGGGATAGAAATAGGGAGCGTACCAGGCTCTAAATCAATGCAAAAATCTATATCTCTATCCGGAGGCATACCATGCAAGTCATTAGGAAACACTTCACTAAATTCAGACACCACATGAATAGACTCAATGGATGGAGCCTCAATTCCAACATCCCTAATATGAGCCAAATAAGCCAAACAACCCTGCTCTACCAGTTTACTAGCCCGAATAGAGGATATAATCTTAGCTTGCTTAGGCTTGTACACCCCTTCACACTCTAATTTTTCCCTTCCAGGAATTTCTAGAGTTACAGACTTAGTATTACAATTAAGCACAACATAATAAGGGGACAACAAAGTCATGCCTAAGATTATGTCAAAGTCAATCATATCCAAAATCACTAAATCAACCCAAGTTTGAAATCCCATAAACAAAATAGGACAAACACGATAGACATGGGTAACTATGACTGACTCTCCAACTAGGGTAGAAACACGAATAGGGGCATTAAGAATATCACAAATCATATCAAAATTTGAGGCAAAGCTCACGGATTCATATGAATAAGTAGAACCCGGATCAAACAACACATTAGCCATCCGGTCACAGACAAGAATAGTACCTGTGATCACCGCATCAGACACATCCGTCTCATTCTTACTCAGAAAAGCATAACATTATGCCCTATCATCATGAAGAGCCATTTCTCTGCCTGGTTGCACGTTACCCCTACTTCTGTTACCATTACCATTTCTTCTACCTCTACTGCCTCGCTGATTACCTCCTCGCCCACCTTGTGGATGCCCTCGACCATTATTACCATTCCCCGTTGGTACCACTGCTCTAGACTGCTGCTGCACAGAATCTAACATACGTGGGTGGGGAAAATCTCTCCTCATATGCCTAGGTTCTCTATAGTTGTAACAAGTACAATCAAAAGATAGTCTGCCGCCCGTCGAAGGCATGACTCCCTGGCTATCCTGAAAATTTTGAGATGGAGTTTCTGAGTAACTACCTATAGAGGTGGGGATAGAGGATTGAATTGGCTTGGCTGTAAGCGTTGGCCTTCCGAACCCCTTGGAATAAGAACCTTGAAAGTTTCCCGAGTTCTTGGCTCTTTTTGCCCATGCCTTAGCTTGACCGTCTCGCCTCACCCCCTCCACTTTCTTAACATAGTCTGCCACCTCATTAAAGCTCCTCCCTACAGAAGTCATATGAACAGATAATACTTGCAACTCAGAATTTAATCCCCTAATAAATAACCATATTCTCTCTTCCTAAGTAGTCACCAATTGAGTAGCATATGTAGACAAAGCATGGAACTTGGCCTCATAAGCAGCCATAGTCACACCACCTTGATCCAAAACCATGAACTCATCCTTTTTGCGATCCCTCAAAGTCCTAGGTACATACTTCTCTAGAAATAGAGCATGGAATTGGGTCCAAGTAAGTGGAGGTAAAGTAGAAGATATGCATTTCATATAAGCTCTCCGCCACTGCTTAGCCTCACCTTGAAGTTGAAAAGATACAAACTCAACCCCATGCTGATGGACAATTCCCAACTTATGAAGCCTCTCATAGCAATCTAAGATGAACTCATAAGCATCCTCATTCTCAGAACCAAGAAACACAGGAAGCTTTAGCTTCAAAACTTAGTCAACATTTCATGCTCATTACCAGTCATGACAGAACCCAACAAAGGACGAAAGAAAGCATCATTACCTCCAGTCCCACCAACCTTAGGCACAGTGCTAGCAACACGAGGATTAGTAGGAGCTTGAGTTGCTTGAGCAGAAGAAAGCACTCCAGGACCAACCAACCCTTTCAAGAATGACATGATCTGTCGAGCTAACATTGGGTCTATGTGGGAAATATCGGTAATCTCAGCCTGCACCTCTTCCTAATGTCCCACATCCTCAACATCAACATTCTCCTCTTCAATCTCTTCATAATGCGAAGGAGGGTTCTCATTCACATGAGCATTCTCAACATGAGCTCTATTTCCAGTAGGCGCTAATCTTCCACGGCCTCTACCCCTAGCTCTTCCTCTACCCCTGCCTCAACCGCGACCTCTCGCTGCAGATTCCCCAACTGGAGCATTGACGGGAGCTACGGGCCTAACGTCGTTGAATCTAGTATTAACTATCTGTGAACAAAAGAGTGAAGGAGGTTAGATACTAATTTGAATCTCCAGATACCAATTGGAATCAAGTCATAGCACGAAAGGAGACAAGAGAAAATAGAGAGATTTCCTAAAGTCCTATAGCCTCTCGAAGAAATGTAAATGCGTCCCAGTACCGTTATGCGAGACTCTCCTAGACTCATTTTGGTACATCGAGATCAACGAACCTAGGCTATAATACCAACTTTGTCACGGCCCAGACCGTCGCGATTGGCACCCATACTAACCCTTCGGTGGGAGAACCACTACTACAACCGAAACCAAAAACAAAGGCATTTAAGTTACGAAAGCTAGTTAAATACTAAGGAAATAAATAGGGAGTTCCCATAAACTTCAACAAAAGTCTAACAAGAACTAAACCATGCATAAAATACACCTAAAATATGAAACTCAATGTACCAAAACATCTAACAATGAACCAAGTCTAAAAAATAAGGGATGCAACCCCAATATAATGAACTAATCAGCTAACTAGAACATAGTCTAAGTCCAAAAATGGTGGACATAAATGAAAGAGAACCCATGGCAGCCCGGAAGAATTGGCTCACCCTTGAATTCGAACTATCACTGATCTCCTAAGAAAGGTCTGTCAGTAGCCGCTTAAAGATGTCCTGTACTCAACAAAAATAAGAGCAAGTACAGTATCAGCACACAACCACAGTGTACTGATAGGATCACACGACTATCCCAATAAGTGCAACATAAGCAAGTCAAGACAACATTATAATCACATGCATATATTTCAACATATACAATATTATCAACATTTACGAACAACGAACAACTTCACATCTTATATCAAATCATTGGTCCTATCATGGAACCCAAATACAAACAGTTAGCATACCAGAACATGGTATCTGATCCCATAATTATGCCGAAACGTGGCAACCGATCCCATAGTTATGTTGGAACGTGGCAACGATCCAAGTTAGTTAAGTCGAAACGTGGCAACTAATCCATTCAACACACCACAATCACAATCACAAGTACATCATCAAGATCATACATTTAAGTCATGATTTCATGGCAATCATCATTCATCTATCTCATTTACAACTAGTGTGATCAACATTGCAACATTCATATACATACAAGTATCATAATGAAGCAAAAACAAACATACATCACACAATCATAGAATCACAACCATCACCTACCTCGAAACAAGCTTAAAACCCTAAGAAATTTGATCTTTCCCTTTTTCGGATTTGTTCCGCTTGTTCTTGGTCTACAAACAGTCAATATAATATGTGAATCAATAAATAATAACTAATTACCCGAATTACTAACAATTCTATGAACCCTAGATCATACCCATGATCCCAATTATCCAAATTAGGGTTGTTTCCACCACAGAATCTATAACAAAACCCTCCCTCATCAACATTTACCCATTCCATTACGTTGTACGGACCGAAAAATGAATTTGGGTAGTGAAAAACTTACCTTTAGCCTTAAGAATGGTGAAAAATGAGTAGGAGTCGCCTGAGATTCGTTCCTTAGCTCTAAAAGTCAAAAATTGCATAATAAGGTCGTTTAGGGGTTTATTAACGACCTTAAGTCGCATCGAGCCCGCCACAACGGCCCTCATTTCGCTGTAGCGGCCCCACCAGAGAAGCGAAATCCAGTACCAAAGCGGCTAGAACGAAACAGAGAGTTATTTAAAGAATTTCAAAATCCCCATTTCACAATACACCTCTAACCAACGATGCTCAGAAAATATCTTTCGCGCTAAGATCAATTTCGGGAGTTCTACTCACCCGAATTCAATTATGTAAAGTCGTACGGATTCCTTAGCGAGTTATCTAACTACTCATGCAATCAAAATCATAAATGATTCCCCCGATTGTTACCAGATTTCCCTATATCTCAAAGAATCCAATTTCGTCCAAATCTAGACTAGGTTGGGAAAATCCAAATACTACGAAAAAGTTTTCTGGCCCTAAATTTTCCTCCGTTGGCTTTTCTATAACGACGGAAACATGTGTTACATGCATGTTGAGGAACAAGGGAAATGGTTTTTAAAAATAGGTTAATTTAGTTTAGTGGCTTGAGATTGAATTTTTTTAAAAAAAGAAGAAGAATGGATCAATAATTATGTAGAATAGAACTATCACTGGCTCCTAATTAATTAAGCTTAAAAAAAGCATCGCATAGAAAAAAATAAGCCAAATTATTGGAAAATAACCTTAATATAACATTGAGGTGAGGAACTTTAGTCAGTACAACAACAAAAGAAACGATTAAATAACAATGATACAAAAGCTAATGCCTTTTTGGGCAATAGCCATTGAATTTATTCGGTACAAAAACAAATGCAAATATCAAATAACATCAATAACAATGCTTCTTAATATATTTTCCATCAATAAATATATAGTTTAAAGGGTGTTCTACATAACCTCCATCGGTGTGTTCGACAAACTCAACTGCATTTAGAAGATCACCATGACAAAGACCAACTTTCTCCGCTTCATCTTTGTTCTTACATGAGTATAATAGTCCTTCAATCTTCTTTCCATTTGGTCCTTCACCTCTTGTGAAAACAAAAGTCATATGGTTGAGCATGAAGATTTTGATCTTCCCTTTAGCAATATAATTCCCTGAATACACAGGTGATTTCTGTTCAACGAAAGATGATTTCACATCGAGAACTAAAGGAAAAAAAATGTTTCCTACATTAATTTTGATACAAATTCAAATTGACTTGCTATATAAATCAATTCGCAAAATTTTGATACCTTGAGTAGGTGGTTGTTGGGTTTCAACCTCAACTACACTTGAAGCAACACTTCCTTGCGATCCACCTGAAAACATCAAAGAATATTTTTCATTAGTTATTCACAAAAAACACATCATTTTTTTTTAGTGAACATCAAAATTACCATTCAGTTCCACATTTTCATTCTCTACATTTGATGTTCCCATGTTTTCTTTAGCTTTCTCTGTATTAGCAAAATCTAAAAACTGAGAAAGCTATTGAATTTCAAACTAAAAAATTATAAAATGGAAAAGAAAAACTCAATGAAATTTTTAGTGCAGAGAAACCATTAGACTATTTGGGAGCTTATAAAGGAGAAACTTTCTAGGTGGGAAGGTAGAAAAAATGTAAAGAGGTATTTCATTTCCATGGGTTTAGTAAAATAACAAAATGGCCCTTGGAAAGTGACACATGGTTGTTCTATGAATAGCCTGACCACGTGGTTTAACAAGGACTTTGGAAATTGAACCCAAGAGGTAACCGTTTAATAGTGACACATGTCACTTATAAATTCACTTTATAAATTTTTTTGACCACTTTAAAAAGAGGAAAAGGTTGAATGTACTTTTCTATTGTATTTTATTGGTCAAATTTGTTAAATGTTATATTATCCCATGATTTTTACTTTCAACATTACTGAATTTAATAGGGTAAACAATACAAATTTTATTTGTTTAGGGCCTAATACATGAATTTTCATGAGTTTTCAAAATTTTGGTCATCAGATGCACGTATCTGACATATCTAATTTTCAAATATATAAAAAGAAAAATAATTATTATATTTTAATGGATTTAAAAGGAAAGTAGGTGTGACAAATTGAAACGAGGGTGTATATCTTATTCAAATATTTAAGAAGTAAATTATTACGTCAATGATGATTTTAGCATGACATCAACAACCTATTTAGGAAAAATAATCAACTTATAACCATTTATGACATAATTATCTTGAATGTCTATATCTCATCGATTAATTTATTTATATATATTCTATCTATGAACAAAAAGTCTAACCAAAAATAGAAAAAAATTAAATGGTTAACACCATGGCCACTATATAAGTAGTGTGACATTATCCCTTTAATGAAAATATACATAAAACAACAACAACAAAAATAAAGATTTTGAAAGGGAAACCAAAGTCTACATTGTGTATGTCTCCTTTATCCTAATTTCATTTCTTAAATTTTGTGTTTGAATTTTGATAAATAATTTTGTTTACTAAAATACAAGACTTATGAACTTTAAGTTTAAATGCCTTATTCCCCTTTTTTATGGTTTAAAATAGCCGCAAATTGTAATAATATACTATTACATGGGATGATCTTAGTAGCATCGACTACTAAATTTTCATTTTTTTTGGTGAGATCATTCAATTCCTCATCTTAATTGTAATCTCCTCCTTCATTTTTCCCTTTTCCGACCCCTATTTTTAAGAACAAAAATATATTAATAAATATCATATATTATCACATTAAAAAAGAAATAAACAAAAAAAGAAACAGACATTGGCTATAGCAATTAATTATAGTTACAAGTAAATTTATTCTCAGTATTGATGTCTGATAATTTCCACCCCTTCTTAGCCCTGTGTTGTTTCTCAACAAAAGAGAAGCGTAGCATGACTCGTTGAGTTTTAAAAGGTGTAGATGAAAAATGGACAGTTGAAACTTTTATGAATAGTTCTGATTTTTTTTTAAGAATTGCGACTTTTCTGGTGACTTTATTGAAAGGTTGTGACTATTTCAAAGGATTGTGACTTTTCCAAGGGGTTGTGACCTTTCCTGTAACACCCCGTATCCGAAATAGACCAAAAAATGCAAATTTTGAGAAGTTACAGGTGCAACCCACGGTTGCCACCCACGGATCGTAGGTCAGACCACGGCCCATGCTGGTGGTTCGCGGTTCACCACTGCTACCCCTCCCCAAACCCAGCTCAGAAAATCGGCTAAGTCTCGACCCACAGGCAGACCCACGGGCCGTAGGCCAGACCACGATCTGTGGTCTGTGTTCATGGATCGAGGCCCCCTTTACCCAGCCTTTATCACAAATGACAGCCGACCAACGCAAATCGCCATTCGATCCACGGTACGTAGGTCCGATCGTTGGTGAAGGCTAGTAGCCAGTTAGGGGAAATTGCTGATTGGGTCAACTTCAAATGGTCATCACTCTTTGCACAAAAGAAATTAGGTGTCCCATGACCTATTATATGATATATAATTGAATTCTCTTTACAACGCCAGTAAGTTTGCTAAAATCACATCTCCGAGTAAAAAGTTATGCTCATTTTAGTGAAGCCCTGTAGGGCAGACGTGACCTACGATCCCAACCTTCGGCCCGTAGGTCCCGTCTGTCGGTCACTCCGACAGCAGTTAAATCAGGGGTCTTTTGTCCTTTTCCTATTTTGTTGGACCCCTAAGCTACACCGTTTAGACCCTAAATTATGAGGTTTTAGTCAGTTTAAGCTTAGAAACATAACTAGAACTTACCTAAGTCAAATCATTAATCAAAACTTAGAAAAATTAGAGCGTAAGAGGAGAAGAGAAGTCAAGAACCCTAGTTCAAGAACGCAACAAGATTCCATCAGTTCCAGCCCCAAAATAGAAAGATTTCTCCATGGAATTCGTCACCAGGTATATGGGATTTCACTAGTGGGTTTGTTTCACCCATTAGGTCCCTAGTTTTCAGTCAGTTTCTTGATTCCCTTATTATGACTAGATCTAGGGTTTCTTGAATGTTAGAATTATTAGGTTCTTAGCTGTTAGAATGATCCAAATCAGATTAGTATGTTAATATTCAGTTTATTGCATGAATTCCAGAACCCTAGCTATGTATTTCTTTAGTTCTTGAATTACACATGCTAGGTCAGATATTTCAGTTATTCAGTTATACATGCCTCAATTATTAATGCATCAATATTAGTTAATTGTTGCATACTCAGTTTGCATGTCCAGTTTGAGTTATCCAGTAACTTACAAAAATTCAGTCATAATATGTTAATCACTTAATCCATTGGGAGTAGCATAATACCGAGTTGGACTAAGGTTCAGCGTACCCAAATAGCCTTAGAATTACTAGCCACGTAGGTTGTAAGTCCCCTCTGTGGGCATCATTTCAGTGATCACGCCAGCATGCCTCTATACCTCTGGCAGGGTATATTGGGTCCTCTCAATGGGGGGTATACATCGGACTCCACATTTAGCTCATGTGGTTTTATTATCGATTATTAGTAGCTCCCATAGTTTAGTCAGATTCTATTGTATTGACCATGTATCAGTATATTCAGTATTCAGTCTCAGCATGTTATAATTGGTCATTGCATTCAACTTATTTGCTTCATTCAATTATATGTTATTTCAACTTTATTCTATCATGCATGCTCAGTACATGTCAAGTACTGACGCATATGTGCACTACATCTTCTCATGATGTAGGTTCAGGTTCTCAGCATCCAGATCACGCTTAGATCGGTTCCTAATCTCCAGTTCAGCATAATCAGTGGTGAGTCCTCATTCTCCGAGGACAATAGTCATGAGTTTCTTTTCAGTATTTTTAGTCCTTTAGTTTCAGTTTTATTAAACTTAGCTGGGGTTTGTCCCAGCATTTCTAGTAAGTTTTAGAGGCTTATTTCAGACATAGTTAGATTCAGCTTAGTGTTGGGTTAATATCTTCTTTGTATTAAACTCATCAGTTTTCATTTATCTCAGTTATAATATATGGGTATTTCCCATCTTTTTAGATTTACTTATTATTAGCTTCCGCATTAGTTTTTATTATTCAATTTATCTTTAGTATGTTCATGATTACGCCAGCAGGGTTAGCTTGGGGTCTCTTGTGATCCTAGGTCCAGTGTTCGCGTCTCGGGGGTAGCCTCGGGGCGTGACGAACTTGGTATCAGAGCACTAGGCTTAAGAGTGCTAGGATGTCTAAAAAGCTGCACTAAGTAGAGTCTCTTTCATGGGTGTGAAGTGCACCACATCTAATGAGAGGGAGGTTATGAAGTGTTTTAGGAAATATTCACTTTCTTGATATTCTTATCGTGCGTTGGTATGATCTCATTTCTAATCCTTCGTTATGCGCTTAAGATCATGCCTCCTCATAGAGCTTACGCATGGAAAGCTAATGCACGTAATGCTAACACAATTCCTTTCGTCCTAGACCATGAGTTTAAGAATGCGATCCAACTATTGGCTCAGAGTATGACCAACAAAAACAATCAGCAGGTTCCAGTTCCTACTAAAAGAAATGGTGGATCAGTGGCAGCTAGAGTTTGAGATTTTGTTAGGATGAATCCTCCTGAGTTTTTAGAGTTGCAAGTTGGTGGGGACCCACAAAATTTCATTGATGAGGTTAAGAAAATCTTTGGAGTGATGAAAGTGACTAGTAGTGATAAGGTAGAATTGGCATCTTACTAGCTTGAGGATGTGGCTCACTCAGTGGAAAGACAACAGGGACTACTTTGTCTTTTGTAACTTCTTATATAGTAATCAACTTCAATGTTAGTCCAAAAACTCTTTCAGAACCCTTCTCAGTCTCTACTCTAGTTGGTGACCCAGTTATAGCTAGACGAGTATACATAAATTGCCCTGTGACAGTCTCTCAGAAAGTCACCTCAGCAGATCTTGTAGAATTAGAAATGGTAGACTTTGATGTCATTCTAGGCATAGATTGGTTACATTCTTGTTATGCCTCAGTCGATTGTAGAACTAGGATTGTTCGTTTTCAGTTTCCAGACGAACCAATCTTAGAATGGAAGGGTAGTAGCTTAGCGTCTATAGGTTGATTCATTTCTTACCTTAAGGTCATAAAGATGATCGCTAAGGGTTATCTCTATCATCTAATTCGGGTTAAGGATTCAAGCTCTGACACCCTAACTCTTGAGTCAGTTCCTGTGGTTAATGAGTTCCCAGAAGTGTTTCCAGAAGATCTTCCCGGAGTTCCTCTCGATTGGGAAATTTGACTTCGGAATTGATCTCCTTCCAGATACCCAGCCTATCTCTATTCCTACAGAATGGCTCCAACTAAGCTTAAGGAATTGAAGGAGCAGTTGAAAGACCTTCTAGATAAGGGGTTCATCAGACCTAGTATTTCGTCATGGGGTGCACCAGTGTTGTTCGTGAAAAAGAAAGATAGTTCTCTCAGAATGTGCATTGACTATAGGCAGT